CAGGAGGAACAGCAGCAGTTGCTATGGCAGCTCTGGAAGCCTGGATTCAGCCTCTGCAGGAACTACGGGGCTCGGGGCTCTCGGTTCTCCGTCTGCAGGGCCTGGAGGCTCCGGGGCGGGGCCGCTGATCTGCTCAGCTTGGGGCAGGAGCGTCCTTGCTGTCCTGGACCCTCCCGGCCTCTGCCTGTCCCGGGGGAGGCCGGATCCTGGGCTGTGTCCCGGCGCCCTGTGCTCCGGGGCCTGCGCTGGTGGATTCGCGCTCCCGCCCCGCAGCCCCCTCCGCGGAGCCGCTCCCGAGCCCCTCCGAGCTGCTCCGCCCGCGTGCGTGCTGCAGCCCTTAGGGAGCTCGGAGCACTCCCCTGCGCTCGCAGGTGTCTGTTAGTGTCCCAGGGAGCCCGAGGGCATCCCTGCTCTCCTGGGTCCTGCTCCAACTCCCTGCGAGCCCCTTTCCGCCCGCCCGGAAGGTTGGTGCAGCTCCTGCTCCTCCGGGACGGGGCTCTCCTGTCCTGGGGACACTCGCCCCGGCCTCAGCCCGGCTCCTCGCGGGGCCCCTCCCCCTCGGAGGCCTTTTGTGTCTTATTTCTTTTTCCCCGTCTTCCTACCTGGATAGAAGCGCGAACTCTTCTCACTGTAGCGTTCCAGCTGGTCTCTCTTTACATCTCAGGCCGAATTCGTAGATTTTCAGGATGGTTTGAAGGTTATCTAGGTATTTTGGTGGGGACAGGTGATTTGGGGACCCTGCTCTTCCGCCATCTTGCCCCTCCCCCCCTATTTCCACTTTGTAAATGAAGAGACTGGTTCATAGAAATTTCTTTTTTTTAATTTTTATTTATTTTTTTAATAAATTAATTTTTATTGGTGTTCAATTTACCAACATACAGAATAACACCCAGTGCTCATCCCGTCAAGTGTCCCCCTCCGTGCCCGTCACCCATTCACCCCCACCCCCCGCCCTCCTCCCCTTCCACCACCCCTAGTTCATTTCCCAGAGTTAGAAGTCTTTATGTTCTGTGTCCCTTTCTGATATCTCCACACATTTCTTCTCCCTTCCCTTATATTCCCCTTCACTATTATTCATATTCCCCAAATGAATGAGAACATACACTGTTTGTCCTTCTCCGATTGACTTACTTCACTCAGCATAATACCCTCCAGTTCCATCCACGTTGAAGCAAATGGTGGGTATTTGTCGTTTCTAATGGCTGAGGAATATTCCATTGTATACGTAAACCACATCTTCTTTATCCATTCATCTTTCGATGGGCACCGAGGCTCCTTCCACAGTGTGGCTATTGTGGACATGGCTGCTAGAGACATCGGGGTGCAGGTGTCCCGGCGTTTCATTGCATCTGAATCTTTGGGGTAAATCCCTAACAGTGCAATTGCTGGGTCGTAGGGCAGATCTAATTTTAATTCTTTGAGGAACCTCCACACAGTTTTCCAGAGTGGCTGCACCAGTTCACATTCCCACCAACAGTGTAAGAGGGTTCCCTTTTCTCCACATCCTCTCCAACATTTGTTGTTTCCTGCCTTATTAATTTTCCCCATTCTCACTGGTGTGAGGTGGTATCTCATTGTGGTTTTGATTTGTATTTCCCTGATGGCAAGTGATGCAGAGCATTTTCTCATGTGCACGTTGGCCATGTCTATGTCTTCCTCTGTGAGATTTCTCTTCATGTCTTTTGCCCATTTCATGATTGGATTGTTTGTTTCTTTGGTGTTGAGTTTAAGAAGTTCTTTATAGATTTTGGAAACTAGCCCTTTATCTGCTATGTTATTTGCAAATATCTTCTCCCATTCTGTAGGTTGTCTTTTAGTTCTGTTGACTGTATCCTTTGCTGTGCAAAAGCTTCTTATCTTGATGAAGTCCCAATAGTTCATTTTTGCTTTTGTTTCTTTTGCTTTCGTGGATGTATCTTGCAAGAAGTTACTGTGGCCGAATTCAAAAAGGGTGTTGCCTGTGTTCTCCTCTAGGATTTTGATGGAATCTTGTCTCACATTTAGATCTTTCATCCATTTTGAGTTTATCTTTGTGTATGTTGTAAGAGAGTGGTCTAGTTTCATTCTTCTGCATGTGGATGTCCAATTTTCCCAGCACCATTTATTGAAGAGACTGTCTTTCTTCCAGTGGATCATCTTTCCTCCTTTATCGAATATTAGTTGACCATAAAGTTCAGGGTCCACTTCTGGGTTCTCTATTCTGTTCCATTGATCTATGTGTCTGTTTTTGTGCCAGTACCACACTATCTTGATGACCACAGCTGTGTAGTACAACCTGAAATCTGGCATTGTGATGCCCCCAGATATGGTTTTCTTTTTTTAAAATTCCCCTGGCTATTCAGGGTCTTTTCTGATTCCACACAAATCTTAAAATAATTTGTTCTAACTCTCTGAAGAAATTCCATGTTATTTTAATAGGGATTGCATTAAACGTGTAGATTGCCCTGGGTAACATTGACATTTTCACAATATTAATTCTGCCAATCCATGAGCATGGAATATTTTTCCATCTCTTTGTGTCTTCCTCAATTTCTTTCAGAAGTGTTCCATAGTTTTTAGGGTATATTTTGAGAACCATTTGAATGGTAAATGGTTCTCCAACCTTTTATTTTCAGGTTGTAGGTGTCCTTCTGTCTAAAATGAGTCTCTTGTAGACAGCAAATAGATGGGTCCTGTTTTTTTATCCAGTCTGAAACTCTGCGCCTTTTGATGGGGTCATTAAGCCCATTCACGTTCAGAGTTACTTGAACTTCTTCTTAAAGGGGAGTTTTAAGAGTCCCCCTTAAAATTTCTTGCAGAGCTGGTTTGGAGGTCACATATTCTTTCAGTTCCTGCCTGTCTTGGAAGCTCTTTATCTCTCCTTCCATTTTGAATGAGAGCCTTGCTGGATAAAGTATTCTTGGTTGCATGTTCTTCTCATTTAGGACCCTGAATATATCCTGCCAGCCCTTTCTGGCCTGCCAGGTCTCTGTGGAGAGGTCTGCTGTTACCCTAATATTCCTCCCCATGAAAGTCAGGGACTTCTTGTCTCTTGCTGCTTTAAGGATCTTCTCTTTATCTTTGGAATTTGCAAGCTTCACTATTAGATGTCGAGGTGTTGAACGGTTTTTATTGATTTTAGGGGGGGATCTCTCTATTTCCTGGATCTGAATGCCTGTTTCCCTTCCCAGATTGGGAAAGTTTTCAGCTAGGATTTGTTCAAATACATATTCTGGCCCTCTGTCCCTTTCGGCGCCCTCGGGAACCCCAATTAAACGTAGGTTTTTCTTCCTTAGAGTGTCATTTATTTGCCTTAATCTGTCTTCATGGTTCTTTAATTGTTTATCTCTTTTTTCCTCAGTTTCCCTCTTTGCCATTAACTTGTCTTCTATGTCACTCACTCGTTCTTCCACCTCGTTAACCCTCATCGTTAGGACTTCTAGTTTGGATTGCATCTCATTCAATTGATTTTTAATTTCTGCCTGATTGGATCTAAATTCTGCAGTCATGAAGTCTCGTGAGGCCTTAATGCTTTTTTCTAGAGCCACCAGTAGCTGTAGAATAGTGCTTCTGAATTGGCTTTCTGACATTGAAGTGTAATCCAGATTTTGTAACTCTGTGGGAGAGAGGGCTGTTTCTGATTCTTTCTTTTGAAGTGAGGTTTTCCTTCTAGTCATTTTGCTCAGTGCAGAGTGGCCAAAAACAAGTTGTATTGGAACACGGGGGAGTATCACTGGTCCGTCTAGCTGGTCTTCTGGGGGAGGGGCCTGTTGCGCTGATTTTCAGGTGTTAGCACTTGGGGGAGCTGCTCTGCCCCTGCCTGCTGCAGGGCTCAGCGGGGGTTGTTTACCCCGCCAGGCCCCAGGAGGAACAGTCGCAGTTGCTATGGCAACTCTGGAAGCCTGGATTCAGCCTCCGCAGGAACTACGGGCTCGGGGCTCTCGGACGGAGGGGCTCGGGCTCTCGGCTCTCCGTCCGCAGGGCCTGGAGGCTCCGGGGCGGGGCCACTGATCTGCTCAGCTCGGGGCAGGAGCGTCCTTGCTGTCCTGGGCCCTCCCGGCCTCTGCCTGTCCCGGGGGAGGCCGGATCCTGGGCTGTGTCCCGGTGCCCTGTGCTCCGGGGCCTGCGCTGTTGGATTCGCGCTCCCGCCCTGCAGCTCCCTCCCTGGAGCCGCTCCCGAGCCCCTCCGAGCTGCTCCGGTCGGTCCCGCCGTGCGCGCTGCAGCCCTTAGGGAGCTCGGCGCACTCTCCTGCGCTCGCAGGTGTCTGTTAGTGTCCCCGGGAGCCCGAGGGCATCCCCGCCCTCCTGGGTCCTGCTCCAACTCCCTGCGAGCCCCTTTCCGCCGCCCGGGAAGGTTGGTGCAGCTCCTGCTCCTCCGGGACGGGGCTCTCCTGTCCTGGGGACACTCGCCCCGGCCTCAGCCCGGCTCCTCGCGGGGCCCCTCCCCCTCGGAGGCCTTTTGTTTCCTTTATTTCTTTTTCCCCGTCTTCCTACCTTGATAGAAGCGCGAACTTTTCTCACTGTAGCATTCCAGCTGGTCTCTCTTTACATCTCAGGCCGAATTCGTAAATTTTCAGGATGGTTTGAAGGTTATCTAGGTAATTTGGTGGGGACAGGCGATTTGGGGACCCTGCTCTTCCGCCATCTTGCCGAAAATCCTTTAGAATTATTTTATTAAATCATAAATGTACAACAGCTTCTTAACTCTACACACGCACTTAAATTTTTTTAGAGGAAAAACGTTATGTCTTATTACACCATGATCCTGGCTAATAGCTTTTCAAAACTTTGAGAAAAATCTTAAAAAAGGTTTCACATGTCACCTGAAACTTACAAATTTAACATTATCAAAGAAGGAATGCTTCTACACTCTTACAAAGACCACTAGAAAGAAACAGCAATTAAAAAGCTAAGAAACTGTCTCAAAGGCATTTTTTTTTACAATCCTTCCTCCACAGTAAGGTAATGTTATTAAATAATCCAATCCATTCACAAAATGGCTCTCTGCATCTGCTCTGGTGTCTTCTGCCATATCACTGCATATTTATGCATGACTGAGATAAGAGTTTCCTTAACATTGTTATTTCGATAACCTGAAGCTGTTCTGTTACCTCTGGGCTCTCATCCTCTCCTATTTATACAGTGAAGCCCATGGCAAGTAGGAAGAAGCTCAATATCGGCTTCTCCCTCCATAACCCCCACTTCCTCCACTGCCTCCAGGACCATAGTTTCCTCCACCATTTGGTCCCCCCATGTTCCTGCTACCACCAAAGTTTCCACTCTTCATTGGACCATAGTTAGAGGGTTGCTGGTTATAATTTCCAAAATCATTGTAATTTCCACTTCCATAAATTCCTCCTCCATAGTTGTCATAACCACCTCTGTAGCCCCCACCCTGGTTGCCATATCCAGGTCCTCCACCACCATATCCTCCTCTTCCTCCTCCATAAGCAGGGCTACCTCCAAAATTGCCACCTCCAGGTCCTCCTCCATACCCATTATAGCCATCCCCAAATCCACGGCCACTTCCATATCCATCAGATCCTCCTCTAAAGTTACTTCCTGGTCCTGGTCCAAAATTTCCACCACCACCACGAGAATCTCCAAAACCAAAGTTGCCTCCTCTTCCACTTCTAGAACTTTGGACTTCCTGCATTTCTTGTCTAGACAAAGCCTTTCTTACTTCTGCGTTATGACCATTGATGGTATGATATTTCTGCAACACAATCTTATCCACAGGATCATGATCATCAAAGGTAACAAAACCAAAGCCTCTTTTCTTTCCAGACTGCCTATCAGTAATTATCTCAATGGTATCAATCTTTCCATATTCCTCGAAATAATCTCTAAGATGGTGTTCCTCAGTATCTTCTTCAATTCCACCAACAAAGAGCTTCTTCACAGTTACATGAGCCCCTGGTTTTCCAGATTCCTCTCTTGCAACAGCACGTTTTGGCTCAACCACTCTCCCATCAATTGAATGAGGTCTTGCAGCCATAGCAGCATCAGCCTCAGCCATGGATGAAAAGGTCACAAAACCAAATCCTCTTGGTCTTTTGCTTGCAGGCTCTCTCATAACCACACAGTCTGTAAGTTTTCCCCATTGTTTGTAGTAGTTCCTCAAACTTTCTTCTGTGGTTTCAAAGCTCAAGCCACCAATGAAGAGTTTCCGGAACTGTTCCTTTTCTCTCTGCATCGCGGACTCAGTCGCTTCAGCCCGATTTCCCGCAGCCGAGCGCGATGAGAGAGATCTCCGCGGACGAACACGAACCGGACTCGTCCTGGCGCTGTAGTGAGAACTGCCGCTGCTCGAGAAACAGCACCGCTAAGAGCACCTCCACGCGGGACCCGGCGCTGCTGCTACTCGAAATCTACTTTTATATAGATTTTTACCTGAGGGCACTCCTTAGTCTGCGTGGTGCAGAACAGATAGAGCTCAAGCAGAAAGTATCAGTTCCGTCAGGCTAACGAGTCAGAGTTTGGAATTCAGGGCTGTCACAGCAGCTGCAAAATGAAGGAAAACATGAGTCCAAAGCAGAGGCCTTAAATTTTCCATATAAATTATCCTCAAATCTTTGACCAACCCTCGAGCTATGCATGCATGGGAAAGTCTACAGGAGCCCAGCGGAAAGTAACAACTGGAAGACTGAAAAAGTTAAGTAGCTATCCAGTAGGGGTTCCAGAGTTGAGAGTTCAAGTCCCAGCAAGTTACAGGGAGTTGGTAAATACCTTGAGCCTTCCATTGAAACCCAAAAGGGCCACACCTTAGGGTAAGGTTCACATCTCAATACTAAAGGTTATACTCTAATACTAAAGGTTATGCTCTAAAACTCAGGGCAAAATCCAAATAAATCCACTTAACAAAGCATAAACCAAGCTCTCACAGGATCAAGATGTTCTGCTTACTAGAACCAAATTCAATACTTTTTATAAGACAAAGATAGAACAAGAATCTCTGTGATGCATTTTGTAGTTTTTGATTTTATCAAACAAAAATTACTAGATATGTGAAAAAAGGAAAATGTGATTAAGACATGGAAAGAAAAGCAGTCAATAGAAACAAATCCAGAGATGACTAAATGTTGGAATTAGCAGACAACAATCTAAAAATAACTCTGACAAATATGAATAGATAATAAAAATAAATAAAACTAACAGATAAAATGGAATTTATTGGAAAAGATGAATATAATGGGTGAAGAAATGAAGAATTTCAGGAAAGCTATGCCAACTCTAAAAAAAAAATCAAAAGGAATTCCTAGAACTGAAAATACAATACTTGAAATAAAAAATTCATTGAGCATTAAAAGCAAATTTGGCAACATAGGAAAAAGGATTTATGAACTTGATGACAGATTACTAGAAATTACACAAACTGAGTAACAGAGAAAAAGATTGGGGGAAAAAATAGAGCCTTAATAACCCCTAGGAAAGTATCAACTGGCCTAATGTGTAACTGAAATCCCAAAAAGTGAGAAAAGAGAACTAGGTAGAAAAAATATTTGAAGAAATGCTGGCCAAAATTTTTCCTTATTTGATCAAGTCACAGATCTAAGACACTAAGGAAACCCCAGACAGAATAAAGTCAAGGAAAGCCACACTTGGGCATATCAAAGTAAAACTGCTGAAAACCAGAGATAATGATCATATCTGAAAAGCAGTCAGAGGAAAAAATGTAATACATATAAGGGAACATCCATAAGCAGATTGCTCATAGGAAATAGTGGATTTCAGAAAACAGTGAGATATGATTTTGAAATGTTGGAGAGGAAAAAAACACCTGTCAATCTAAAAATCTATATGTAGAGAAACTACTCCTTAAAAATTATGGTAACATCAAGACATTTTTAGATAAAGGAAAGCTGAGAGAACTCATCACCAGCAGTGCTACACTATTAGAAATGCTAAAGGCATTCTTTGAGGTGAGAAATGATACAAAATGTAAATATGGATCTATCTGACAGAATGAAAAACACTGGAAATGGTAAATATATGGGTAAAGAGAAAAGACTATTTTTCTTCCTTTTCTTAAGTACCCTAAAAGATAATCAACTGTGTAAAGCAAAAATAAGAGTAATTAATTGTATAGCTTAGGGATCCCTGGGTGGCTCAGCGGTTTTGCACCTGCCTTTGGCCCAGGGCGATCCTGGAGTCCCTGGATCGAGTCCCACGTCGGGCTCCGGCATGGAGCCTGCTTCTCCCTCTGCCTCTCTCTCTCTCTCTCTCTCTCTCTCTATCATGAATAAATAAAATCTTTTTAAAAATTGTATAGTTTACAATTTATGTTTTAAAAAAGTAGAAAATAATTGCATGAGGATAGGTAAAGGTAAATGAAATCAAGTTGTGTTTCAAGTTCTTAGATGTAAAGCAGTAGAATATTAACTTAAGGAAGACTGTGGTTAAGATAAAGATGCATATTATAGTCCCTAGAACAACCAATAAAAGAACACAACAAAAAGATGTAGCTAAAAATTCAATATAAGAAACAGAATGGTATACTAAAATAAATTTTAGTTAACCCAAAAGAAGGCAGAAAATTAGAAACCAAGAAACAAAAAACAGAAGGGATAAATAGAAAACAAAGAGCAAGATAATAGATTTTAACACAATCATATCAATAATTACATCAACTATGAATGGGATAAACAATCCAATTAAAAGTCAGAGACTGTCAGAGTCAACTTTGTGCTATTTACAAGAGACACAAAATATAAAGGCACAGACAGGTTGAAAGAAGAAGGATGGAAAAAGATACAAGAACTAACCATGTTAACATCGGATAAAGTATACTTCAAGACAAAGACAAGAAAAAAAAAGCCTCAGTAATCTGGCAACAAAAAGAAATAAAAGGCATTCAAATTGGCAAAGAAGAAGTCAAACTCTCCCTCTTCGCCGATGACATGATACTGTATGTAGAAATCCCAAAAGACTCTACCCCAAGATTGCTAGAACTCATACAGCAATTTGGCAGCATGGCAGGATACAAAATTGATGCCCAGAAGTCAGTGGCATTTCTATACACTAACAATGAGACTGGAGAAAGAGAAATTAAGGAGTCAATCCCATTTACAATTGCACCCAAAAGCATAAGATACCTAGGAATCAACCTAACCAAAGAGGTAAAGGATCTATACCCTAAAAACTACAGAACACTTCTGAAAGAAATTGAGGAAGACACAAAGAGATGGATTGGCAGAATTAATATTGTGAAAATGTTGTTACCCAGGGCAATTTACACGTTTAATGCAATCCCTATCAAAATAACGTGGACTTTCTTCAGAGAGTTAGAACAAATTATTTTAAGATTTGTGTGGAATCAGAAAACACCCCGAATAGCCAGGGGAATTTTAAAAAAGAAAACCATATCTGGGGGCATCACAATGCCAGATTTCAGGGTGTACTACACAGCTGTGGTCATCAAGACAGTGTGGTACTGGCACAAAAACAAACACATAGATCAATGGAACAGAATAGAGAACCCAGAAGTGGACCCTGAACTTCTTGGTCAACTAATATTCGATAAAGGAGGAAAGACTATCCACTGGAAGAAAGACAGTATCTTCAATAAATGGTGCTGGGAAAATTGGACATCCACATGCAGAAGAATGAAACTAGACCACTCTCTTGCACCATACACAAAGATAAACTCAAAATGGATGAAAGATCTAAATGTGAGACAAGATTCCATCAAAATCCTAGAGGAGAACACAGGCAACACCCTTTTTGAACTCGGCCACAGTAACTTCTTGCAAGATACATCCACGAAAGCAAAAGAAACAAAAGCAGAAATGAACTATTGGGACTTCATCAAGATAAGAAGCTTTTGCACAGCAAAGGATACAGTCAACAGAACTAAAAGACAACCTACAGAATGGGAGAAGATATTTGCAAATAACATATCAGATAAAGGGCTAGTTTCCAAAATCTATAAAGAACTTATTAAACTCAACACCAAAGAAACAAACAATCCCATCATGAAATGGGCAAAAGACATGAAGAGAAATCTCACAGAGGAAGACATAGATATGGCTAACATGCACATGAGAAAGTGCTCTGCATCACTTGCCATCAGGGAAATACAAATCAAAACCACAATGAGATACCACCTCACACCAGTGAGAATGGGGAAAATTAACAAGGCAGGAAACAACAAATGTTGGAGAGGATGCGGAGAAAAGGGAACCCTCTTACACTGTTGGTGGGAATGTGAACTGGTGCAGCCACTCTGGAAAAATGTGTGGAGGTTCCTCAAAGAATTAAAATAGACCTGCCCTACGACCCAGCAATTGCACTGTTAGGGATTTACCCCAAAGATTCAGATGCAATGAAACGCCGGGACACCTGCACCCTGATGTTTCTAGCAGCAATGTCCACAATGGCCAAACTGTGGAAGGAGCCTCGGTGCCCATCGAAAGATGAATGGATAAAGAAGATGTGGTTTATGTATACAATGGAATATTACTCAGCCATTAGAAACGACAAATACCCACCATTTGCTTCAACGTGGATGGAACTGGAGGGTATTATGCTGAGTGAAGTAAGTCAATCGGAGAAGGACAAACAGTGTATGTTCTCATTCATTTGGGGAATATGAATAATAGTGAAAGGGAATATAAGGGAAGGGAGAAGAAATGTGTGGGAAATATCAGAAAGGGAGACAGAACATAAAGACTCCTAACTCTGGGAAATGAACTAGGGGTGGTGGAAGGGGAGGAGGGCGGGGGGTGGGGGTGAATGGGTGACGGGCACTGAGGGGACACTTGACGGGATGAGCACTGGGTGTTGTTCTGTAAGTTGGTAAATTGAACACCAATAAAAATTAATTTATTTAAAACAAAGTAAGAAAGAAAGAAAGAAAGAAGAAAGAAAGAAAAGAAAAAAGAAAAGAAGAATAGAAAAGAAAAGAAAAAGAAACTCTAAAGGCACCAAGAATCTGTGTACTTTCTTCAGCAGTTCTGGGGGTGGGGGGAGTTAACCCAGGTCTATAGTCCTGGGCACTAGAATGAATGCCAGCAAGCATAAAAAAAAAAAAAAAAGGTAGTCTGGTCAACCAGCTGGTTATCTGTAGAATAGCCAGTTGGCTCAAGGACTTAACTAGATTGCTTTCCTAAATGTTCTAATTGGATGCCTGACTTCAGTTCCCTCCTTCTATCCCCTACTCCTACTCCTGCACCAACCCCCTCACCCAGGGAGGAAGAAAATCAAGGTGGGTCTATGATAAATACAGCCTGCACAACAGGGCAGAGAATGAAGACTAACGACCAGGTGTTTCTCTACACAAGAAACAATCTTTTGATGTTTGTTTTTCTTTTGTTTTGCTATTCTCCCTGAACTGATACTCTGTCTTATTAATTAAATAAAGCC